TTGCATAATCTAGTCCAGTGGTGGCTAACCTTTTCGAGACCAAGTGCCCAAAGTACAACCAAAAACCTACTTATTTATCACAAAGTGCCAACACTACAATAAAACCTGAAAACTGAGGTTTTAGTTTAGAAAAAATACATCACAGCCAATTCAAGCAATATATATATATATATATATATATATATATATATCCTTGACAGCACACTGACTGGTCATCCGAAAGCTCAGAGCAGTCATGGCTAATGAGTGGCTGCTCGTGATGTCATTGCCTGGTGCCGTTACTCCTTTCCAAGCATGTGCATGGCCCCTATGTGCGCTCTTATCCGATGACTGGATGCTGGAGAGATGCTGGGGCAATTTGTGTGCCGACAGAGAGGCCTCTGCCTGCTGGCTGTGGCACGCATGCCATAGGTTCACCCCCACTGGTCTAACCCTATCCAGGTGCACTCCCCTAACCCTAATATAGGGGTAAAATACCATTGAAAATGGGACAATTTTGAAAAAGCCTTCCTTGAGTAGCTTCTTCTGCACAGCTCAATATTTCTGCCCATTCGAAACACAATCCAACCATCAGACTCATGCCAGGACACCCCGTTTTTCTAACCCCAATCCTAGCCTGCTGCACACCCCTAACTCTAATGCAGGGTTAAAGTTCCATTGAAAATGGGACGATTGTGAAAAACCCTTCCTTGAGTAGCTTTTGCTGCACAGCTCAACATTCCCACCCATTCGAAACACATTCCAACCATCAAAATCATGCCAGAACACCATGTTTTTCTATCCCCAGCCCTACGCTGTTACACACCCCAAATCCTAATACAGGGCGAAAGTCCTATTGAAAAGAGGGCGATTTTGAAAAAGCCTTCTTTGAGTAGCTTTTTCTGCACAGCTGAACATTTCTGCCCATTTGAAACACATTCCAACCATCAGAATCATGCCAGGACACCACGCTTTTCTAACCCCAACCCTAGCCTGCTGCACATCCCTAACCCTAATACAGAACGAAAGTCCCATTGAAAAGAGGACCATCTTGAAAAAGCCTTCCTTGGGTAGCTTTTTCTGCACATCTCAACATTTCTGCCCATTCGAAACACATTCCAACCATCGGAATCATGCCAGGACACCACGTTTTTCTAACCCTAACCCTAGCCTGGTGCATGCCCCTAACCCTAATACAGGATGAAAGTTCTATTGAATATGGGACGATTTTGAAAAAGCCTTCCTTGAGTAGCTTTTTCTGCACAGCTCAACATTTCTGCCCATTCTGAACACATTCCAACCATCGGAATCGTGCCAGGTCACCACGTTTCTCTAAACCTAACCCTACCCTGGTGCACACACCTAACCCTAATATAGGGGTAAAGTTCCATTGAAAAGAGGGCGATTTTGAAAAAGCCTTCTTTGAGAAGCTTTTTCTGCACAGCTCAACATTTCTGCCCATTCTAAACACATTCCAACCTTCAAAATCAGGCCAGGACACCATGTTTTTCTAACCCTAACCCTACCCTGGTACACACCCCTAACCTTAATACAGAACGAAAGTCCCATTGAAAAGAGGGTGATTTTGAAAAAGCCTTCCTTGGGTAACTTTTTCTGCACATCTCAACATTCCTGCCCATTCGAAACGCATACCATCCATCAGAATCGTGCCAAGGCACCACGTTTTTCTAACCCCAACACTACGCTGTTGCAAACCTGGACCCTAATGCAGGGCGAAAGTTCCATTGAAAAGAAGACGATCTTGAAAAAGCCTTCCTTGAGTAGCTTGTTCTGCACAGCTGAACATTTCTGCCCATTCTGAACACATTCCAACCATCAAAATCATGCCAGGACACCTCATTTTTCTAACCCTAACCCTACCCTGGTGCACACCCCTAACCCTAAAATAGGGCTGAAATTCCATTGAAAAGAGGGCGATTTTGAAAAAGCCTTCCTTGAGTAGCTTTTTCTGCACAGCTCAACGTTTTTGCCCTTTCTAAACACATGCCAACCATCAGAATCATGGCGGGATATTTTGTTTTTCTAACCTTAACCCAGTGATGGTGAACCTTTTATAGAGCAAGTGCCCAAACTGCAACCCAAAACCCACTTCTTTATCGCAAAGTGCCAACAGTGTAATAAAACCTGAAAACTGAGGCTTTAGTTTAGAAAGGGCAACTCGCAGCGAGGCCTTGCTAATATATATATATATATATATCTATATCTATCTATCTATCTATCTATCTATCTATCTATCTATCTATCTATCTATCCTTGGCCATGCTCTTACCGGCCATGTGAAAGCTTGGATGAGTTGCAGTTAGTGAGTTGCAGTTAGTGTGTTGCAGTGTGTGACATCATCGCCTGGTGCCGCTACTCCTGTCCGAGCATGCGTATGGCCCTTATGTGCGCTGTTATCCAGTGCTCGACTGCTGAAGCGATGCTGGGGTGACTTGGCTCGCGTGCTGACAGAGAGGGCTCTGTGTGCCCACTGTGACACACATGCCGTCGGTTTGCCACCACTGATCTAGTCTATGTGCATCATCTGTGATCTTCCACAGTAGGCCAAAACACTTTTTTAAAGAAATTCCATTTAATTATTTATGGCAAACTTGTGACAGATCAAATTCTTGAAAGTTAAACCTGTGAAAGTCAAGTTTTGACAGTATTTAAGATAAACTTTCTAGCTATAGTTACTTTTCCTTAAGAAATTGTAAGCACAAGGCTCACTTGTTGCAGCAGTTTCAGTGGCTACCAACTTGTTTTCAAGTATATGTCAAAGTGCTGGTGATTACCTATAGAGTCCTGTATAATTTGGAATGGGGCTACCTGAAGGACCAGCTCCTCCCATGCATGCCTGTCTCGATCTTAAGGCCCATCTTTTGGTACTGCCATCATCAGAGGCACATTTGGTGGGGAGGTTAAAAGGGCTGTGCCAATAGCTGCTTCCGGCTTTGGTACTCTCTGCCTTCTTCTCCATTTTCCTTCTACCATCTGCCAAATATTATATTGACATGTAAACTGGAGGGGGATTGAATTGGTTCAGTGCTATTTATATGTCTTGTTGTGTTTTTTATTCAATTAATTTATTTTTCTTACATTTTAATTAAAGTTACTGTTTAAATCTGTGGTTTATTGTTAGCCACTTTGGCCACTGTGTTTTGGCAGAAAGGCAGGGCATAACTCAATAGAACAATTAAGTAAATTAGATACTTGAGCAAAAGAAAATGCAGTTTCCCTTAGAATCTCCAAAAATAGTGTTGCTTGCTTTGATTGCAGCATTCTATGATGTGAGATCCTCTGTGGCTTTTTCTCAGTCGTCTTCAGCTGCAGTCAGTGTGTCTGATTCAGAATTCTAGAGCTGGAAGTGGCATTAAGCAAGAAAAGAAAGGGGTGGAAGGAGGAAGTTTCCAAAAACTGGCTGCTGTGACTCATTCCCTAGAAATGTAGGCTTCCTTCCTTTTGCTACTGAAGAATGTCGGGGGTCACACGAGGTTAGGGGCTCCAGGAAGCAGAGGATGGCTTTGGGACAGATGCCATGATTTGCACATCTTCTGCTCTAACCTCTAATTTTTCTGGAAGCTTTCCTGCCAAATTCACAAAAGCATTGGGCTGGCTAAGGTTACAGGGCAGGGAGGGAAGTAAGTTACTTGTGTACTCAGACGTGCTCTTGTCATCCCCGAAAGCAGAGGGAGGCAGTTGAATCTAGTATGTTGGGTGTTGGGGGTTGAAGTCTGATGCATCTGGAAGGCACCAGGTTTGTGAAGGTTGCACTATATGATACAGGAAGGTTGACACATATGTGCATGTTTTGTGATGGTTAGAGTTTGGTTAGATCACTTTCAGACCTCTGCTGGGATAACCTTGAGCTGTTCCCCATGTCTTGCCTACTTCACAGGATTGCTGTGAGGATAAAAGAAGGGAAACACACATATCCTCCTGAGCTCTCTGGAGGAAATGAGGCATTCGTATATAAAATAAGTGTATGTCTCTGTGAAAGTTGTTGGGGCTTGATCCTGTAACCTAATTCTGAGTGCTGCCAAAATTGAAACCTCAAGCCAGGGCTTCTGTTTTCGTTCCAACCGCAAAAGTGGGCTGGCAGCCCAAGCACAGCTAAAAGGCATTGGATGGGGGACAGACTGGGATGGATCTTCCCCACTGCCCCCATTTGCATTGCCTGTGACAAGGAGGAAGGTGCTTATGGTGGGAAGAGGAACTAACGGAGGCTGGGGAGTGGTTGAATTATTTACCCCCCTAAATCAGGCTTCTCCATCCTGGAGCCCTCCCAGTATGTTGCACTACAGGTCCCATCAGTATGGCTGATGGTCAGGGATGCTGGGAATTGTCATTCAAAAATATCTGGACAACACTAAGGTAGGGCATGTTGGCCTTTTTAAACAGCTAGACTCAAGAAAACTTTGTTCTGATCCAGACTTAATGCAGTTTTCTGTACCTGTTGTACTGCAGGTAGGGAGAACTTGGCCTCCTGGGATCTCTGCTACTGTTTTGTCCTATTTTAAAATCTCTCGTTTTCAGGGCTGTGCCTGGAGGCTTGATAGTATGTGAGTGAGATTGGTGAGTTCTTAGGAGGTTACTGAGAAACACGTCTGCTGGTCTGAGAGCAGGGCACTGCTTTGCTGGTCTGTAGAAGTCCCCTGATGGCCAGAATAAAAGCCACAGAACAAGCCAATATATGCAGCACATCTTGTTAACATGGAGGTCCTAGAACCCATCTTTCCTTGGCCTAAGACTTAATGGCTTAGGGAAGACTTAATTGCTTAGCTTTGTGGAGGTATGACTTGTTTAAAGTTCTGGCTTCTATAAAGCTCTTTTGTAGGAGATGCAAATACACACAGTCACGTGTGTATTTTCTGGAAGTGAGCCACATTAAAAGCAGGTTCCAGGAACTGATGCCTTGGTCAGAAATGCACCAGTTTGATCCATCCCAACTCTGTTCCAACCAGATATGGGCCAGCTGATTATTTCTCTTGATTATAGGTTCTCATCTTCTCTCTCTTCAGGTGCACCTCAGAATGGCTGCCAAGCCCAGGTGGCCACAGAGGGGTCATGCGGCACGCTGAGGAGAGCAGTCAAGTGGCACAAAAGCAGTCGCTGCCTTAAGGGATCCTTCCTTTTTTTGAGGACAGTTTGACCTGGAGAACCCCTGTTCCCACATTAGCAAATCCCATTCCAAGACTGCCAACAGGAAGTTTTTAGGAACAGGAAGAGACTGCTGTCACTGCTATCTGCCACCATGTCGACTTCTTCACTGCGCCGCCAGATGAAAAACATCGTGCATAACTACTCTGAGGCAGAGATCAAGGTGCGGGAGGCCACGTCCAATGACCCATGGGGCCCCTCCAGCTCCCTTATGTCTGAAATTGCTGACCTCACATACAATGTGGTGGCCTTCTCCGAAATCATGAGCATGATCTGGAAACGTCTCAATGACCACGGCAAGAATTGGCGTCATGTTTATAAGGTACCAGGCACAATTAACAGAAGAAATAAGACAACCCCTGCCTGTGGGCCATACTCTCTGAAGGATAGGACAGAAAAAGAGATGGGATTGGGACAGAAGAGGAAAAGAAGCAAATCCAGGCACTAGATGCTTAATTGTAAAGTTCAGCAGGTCCATTGAGTTGGCTCTAAGCACAACAGAAGGGCAGCTGCTTTCTTTTCCTCTGAAATCCTTCATAGTCCCAGCTGGTAGTGGGATGTGGGGTGGGAACCAGGTATAATAGAGGGTGCCCGACTGCTGCTTCCTCTCAGTGGTCTCGGCAGTGGGATGAGGACTGTCAGCTGGGCACAGTGCGAGCACCTGGCTCTTGGCCTTTATATTTTGAGTGGGAGGCAACCCTCTTTTCTCCCCCCTTCTTTCTCAGGCCATGACGCTGATGGAGTACCTGATCAAGACAGGCTCAGAGCGGGTGGCCCAGCAATGCAAAGAGAACATCTATGCCATCCAGACACTCAAGGATTTCCAGTATGTTGATCGTGATGGCAAGGACCAAGGGGTCAATGTTCGAGAGAAGGCCAAGCAGCTGGTGGCCCTTCTCAAGGACGACGAGCGCCTCAAAGAGGAGCGGGCCCACGCTCTCAAAACTAAGGAGAAGCTGGCCCAGACTGCGACCGGTGAGTGTTCATTTCCAGATGGTGGTCTTTGATCTAGCCCAGTGTGGGCAGGAAGTAGATCTTTGGAGTTCAGCTCCCAGAACCTTCTGCCAATAAGGCCGGTGGTCAGGAATGCTGAGAGTTGTAGTCTAGAACATCTGAGATCCCCTTTCTCCAGAATGTCAGGTTGTCAGAATCTGTGGCTCTTTTGCCATGCAAATCAGAGCAGGGCAGCAGTAAGTATCAGGCAAGACTTGGGAAACCATAGTGCAAATCCCCACCCAGTCATGATATTATTTGGTCTAGGCACTGTATCTCAGCCTACCCTATTTCACAGGCTTGTTGTGTGAATAGAACCACGTGCACCAGCTCCTTGGAGGAAGGCAGAGTAAAAACATAATAAAAAGAATAATACATTTTAAAATTGTCTGTATGAAGCACAGACAGTTCCAAGGGGGAGGGAGTAGTAAGTGCTCCCTAGACCCTTCCATATATTGTTGTGTGTGTTGGCTGGGTTCTAGTGTGCTGTTCTCATCCCAGGCTCAAAAGGTGGGGATTGCTAGTTTAGTCTTCCCCAACCTGGTGTCTTCTAGATAATTTGGACTTCAACATTTACCATTTCCAGCCAGCATGGCCACTGGTCAGAAATGCTGTGGGAGATGCAGTCCAGCAACATATGGAGAATATCAGGTTAGGGAAGGTTGGGATTAGAAGATGGTCCACAGGCCCGATCCATGCCCTGAAATGATGTCAATTGCAGTTAGTTTTGCTTGTGATTTTATTTGTAAGGGAAAGCAGAAATGATCCTTCATTTGTGTATGTGTCCTGTAAAAGTCCTCTTGCTACTTCTTGCTCAGCTTATAGAAGACAACTGCAGACTGAGCTGTTGCTGGTCTCCCTTTTCAAGGGAACCTTGAGGAAACATGATGGGTGTTCTGTGTCTTCCTCACCAAATGACTTCATGTCATCTGAGTGCCTACTTTCTGCATCTTCAAAATTCTTGGCTGCTTGATGATCCCAGTTTGGGGAATGGTCTGAAGGTGCTCAGTGTACCAAGCTTACTGAAAGAAGTATGCCTGAGCCTGATCAGAAGCTGGATGGGAGATCATATGGGAATCCTGTGTACCCCATCTCAGGATTCTCATGAAAGGAAAGGCTTTATCACCTAGCTTGAGAGTTTCTTAGGAAGTTAGATTGTTCCAGCCCCCAGGCTATACATGCGCTGCTAACAAAAGACAGAAGTTGGTAGTGTTATCATAGAGAAAGTGTCAAATCCCTTTAGGTCTGGGGCCAAGTTTCCACACTGGGTCTGGGTAGATCAGATAATGAGAGAGATTGAGGCCCATCCATGACATCAGAGGCAGCTTCACCTTTGACATCATCGGGTCACCAGCCTAAGCACTGGCTAGAGCTTCTCTGGACAGTTGCTCAGTTGAGGATGCTTTTTCACTATGCATAGTATTTTCCCAGCATGGCTCCCTGACCAAGGTGCTGGCCAAAAGAGCAGTCTTCTAGCCACTTCTAGCCACTGCCTCAGCTGGCATTGCTCCACCTGCACTTTCCTTGGCTGGGAAATCCAAATGGAGCATAGTCCACCAAGGCACCCGATTCCACTGCTCCATCTTCCCCATGTGGTCATACTTAGCCTGTGAGGAGGAACTTTCATATCCCTGCCACTGCGGTTAGGAAACAATGCACGAAAGACTTGTTCCTGTGAGGAAGCAGGTTTGTTCTCAGGTGGGTTTATGTGGATGCTTGTGAAATCTGAATCCACTACTTCTTTTTAGTGGAATCTGTATGTCTTTGTTAGTGATAACACAACATTTAAGCTTCTTTGCTGCTCTGGGCTGTTCTATGAAGATGTCATATGAAGGCATCGGTGCCTATCTCAGCCTTCTGCCTGTTCGTTCTACTGAAATGAAACTTCCTGAAGGTGTTCAGTGCAGCTGCTGATTGCTCATACAGGGACAGCTGTGGCTGATGAACCATGTCCCCTCCCACCTCAAGTGTGGCAGGTTGCCAGACTCTGCGAGTGAATTACAGGCCTTTTCGGACTGTTGGTGCTTCTCTTTCATGTCAATAAGCCCAAGATCAAGTTCTGCCACTGTTGTTTGCAAAGCGCCTGATGGGGCAGATTCAGATAAGGAAGTGGGAGTAGCTTTTGCTTCCTATTTGAAGCAGCTCAGCAGAAATATGAGGAACTGGTTAAAGATTAGGAGGTGTGTAATGCAGAGGGAGAAGGAACATTCTCTCCTATTAATGAAGGCTCCACCTTGACCATTGCCTGAGTTTCAGACTAGCCCTGTTCAGAAACTTCATATTTCATACCCAGAATGGTCCAGTCTTCTACCTTTTCTTCTAGTGAAATACTTAAAGCAGTGTCCAACACTGAAATTCCATGACCAGACTGGTTTTATGCCTACAGTTAAACTGGCCTACATCCACTGATTGAAATACAGTAAAATTAATGAATATGAGAAAGTCCCCTCTGCATTCCATGAATGCTTATGGCAAACAATAAAGCTGTTTGTCACACTCCTTGATGTATTGTAATCCCGGCAATGGGGGATAGGACAGGAGTGCCTAAAGCATCTGAGAAAAAGAGTGATGGGCCAAAGCCCAACCCAGGAGAAAGGGTGGAGAGCATTTATTTTTTCTTTAAAAGTTGCTCCCACTTCAGAAAGTTACATCGGATGACATCAAGTTCTAGTACTGGTTTTTTTGCGGGGTGGGTGGAGAGAAGGAACAAAAATGACCATAGCTCAGCATCTACTGCATAAGGCCCAAGTTAAATTCCAAGCATCTCAAGTTAAAATGGCTGGGAAGCCGATGATGAGCAAAGCAGTCTCAGCCAGAGGCCCCGCAGAAAGATGCTGCTTCAAGTCAGCATTTGCCAGCCTTCTCCAACATGATTTTATTCAGGTGCCTTGGACTACAGCTCCCATTAGCCACAACCAGCATGTTACAGGAGCTGTAGTCCAGAGCATCCAGAGGATACCACACGGAAGAAGGCTGGGGTAAACAGTACTTGGTTAGATGAATAACAAGTCTGATCTGGGGCAGGGCAGTTTCTCAGTTCCTTTATGGAACTGAGGCCTACTGTTCATGCAAAGCAGAAATCTGGTGTTTCTTTTTGCTGTTAGGTCTCTCTCCCTGTACCTCTATGGTAACCTTTTTGTATTCAGTGATGTGAGACAGAAAATCTTTCATAATTTCATTAGTAAAACAATATATGCCTTTTGGAAATACATAATTAGGCATGTCTGGGCATTTAATTAACATTTTTCAAGTATTTATTCTTAGCATGTGAGAGAATGCCTATATGTCACTGAACTCCATGCACATCTCAGAGTGAAATGGGATTGGAAATAAGTAATGATTGCAAAACTGAAGGTGTCCCAAAAAGCTTAATGGAAAAAATTTGAACTCTACTGAAACATGAATATCCATATATCATACACAGTTATTTGGGTTGCTAAAATTAATTAGTGTGTCAGTAATTTTTAGTAATGTTTTTAAAGAAAGTACATACTATTGGCTTAAACATTCTGGTAAAAAATGCACATAATATTTAAATCACATTAAGTATGCTTTAATTTGTTCCCTCAGCATTTCAGCTCTAGTTTCTGCAGTGTACTGAGATAAAAAATAAACGTGGAGTACTTTTAAAACTTTATTTACTACATTCAGGTAATATAAGCATGGTAAATTAGATCCCTCTAGGCCCCGTTCTAGAGTCATACAATATTGAACATTTTCTGAGCAGATGACTAATTTTCACTGGAAAAAAATTCCAATGCACTTCTTCCATTTCCAAATTTTTCAGAAAACCCACATCACATCACATCACTCTAATAATAGCCACATATCTCTAGTACCGACAGTGCTTGGCACCTATGACTTTTGTACCTGTGCTTTCCCACTAGCTGGCACTCCTCAGAGAGCAAGGTCCAGAAACAGAAGCTTAGATGGAGTCATAAAATGTTCTTTCCACAAATGGTTGTCACAGGAGCCTTCGATGCAGTTTAGAAACCACTGCATGTCAGCTCTTGAGCAGCCTTCCAGATACACTGGGCTATAACTCCCACCATCCTCAGCCAACATGGGGAAGAGGCTAAGGCAGGATTGCAGGAGTTGGTGCAACATGGATTTGAGGAGTCGGGAGTCACTAAGAGGGCTTCACTTCCCTAATGGCACATTTGAACCTCCTATTAGAAGGAACTGCAAGCAAATTCAGTGATTAAGAGCTTGGCATTTGGCCCTAGTCAGCTTCACTCTGAACTGTACTCTGTACTTTTGTGCAGGCTTTGTAATCTTGCCCAAGCTTTTAGACAGCCCTATAAGAAGTGTGGCTTCCTAGCTTTTGGAGGAGCAATTCTGTAGTGTGCCTTCATATTCTTGCGGCTTAGATGATAACACTACAGTGATATAGGTGGCGGTGCAGTTATGAATTGGAACAGTCAAGCAGGTTCCAAAAACGCATTCTGGATAGTTTAAGGTCAAGGGATTCCCGGAGTGCCGATGACTGTCCATTCCCGTGGCTTCTCCTCTGTCACAGCCCAGCTGTGGGGGCAATACCCCCCTTCCAAGTACCCCCCACCCCACTGCTCTACAGTAACAGCAGAAGCCCCCAGCAGCAAAACTTTGGCAGCAAACTGCTACAGAGAAGCAAAGCTGCAACATTTAGTTTGTCTTCAAACCAAATGTGGCATTTTTGATTTTCTGTGGCAGTTGGTTGCCTAATTTTGATGACAAATGGCTGGGGAGGAGGTTGCAGCAGAAATGCATGCCTTGGTGGGGTCTAAAGGCTGGTCAGGGGCTCCTGGACTCCCGGAGTTGCACACACATATTAGTTATTTATCATTGCCAGTCACAGCTTTTATCACCAGTCAGGCATTTTGATGGGCCAAGGCTGGGGATAAGCACTCTGGTTGCTAGGCGACTGCAGGGCCTACTGGCCTTTGGTGCGTACTTGGAGGCTTTGGTGGGGGACACGTTGCTGTTGCTGGGGATGGTAACTCTCTCTGTCCTCTTACCCAGATCTGATAAATGTGGTGTGAAAAGGTGGACCCAAAAGCCCAGGAAATGGTAGCTCATTAACATTTGAAGTAAATGTCTCAGTTCTTCAATAAACAAACTGGACTTGCTGCTGAACTCAGCAAAAGTGCATTAGCGATTCCCCTTATTATAGGGATAAACAACTTGGTGCTGTATGCCCGGGCCCACGGGGGTTGTAGTCACAAATATCTCAAGGTAGTCAGGCTGCCTTCCCCTGTTTTAATACAGAGGGTTTCTACTTCTTGTTCCCTTCACTCAATTTTTCCCATCACCCCTTGTTATTATGCAATGTGGGAGGAATCTCCAAATCTGTTCTTGAATGTTGCCCTGTACATTTTGTTAAAAAGGCATTCTGGCAGGCCAAGAAGCACACAGGTTTCACAAAAAGGTTACAAAAACCTTTCCCAATTAGGCAAAGCAAGTTTCTGTTCTGCCAGCATAGAACCTGAAATCTTGTATTTTCTTGTTCACCCACAGAATTTGACCCAGTGAGAAACAGTGTTATCTAGTCTGTAGTCTACACTTGTGTGTGATGCAGCAGTTCCCTACTAGGCCTTCCTCTGATAGGGAGCAGCGCAGCGTGTCTTCTGGGCTTTGTGTTTTGTTTTTGTCTGTAGAGGAAGACGTATGAATTCTGGAAGAAATACTGCCCTACTCCCCAGGGATAGATCTCTGCACCTGGGCAGGATTCAAGCCCTTGCGGGGAGAGGGGGATATTGTGGTGGCCACAACTCCAGAGGGGAAGCCCCATGTTCCTTCGGTCCTCTTGTTCCTGTCTGCTGTGGCTGGCTTCCCACCCCGACGACATGGCTTGCTTGCGCGGTTGCATGCATCCCTGCACTCATGAGGGATGACAGTTGGTGCCAGTCTGTCTAGTGGGGTGGGGAGTGGGGAAACGGCTGGTATTCAGGTCATGGCACAGGGCTGGACAGTTCTCCATGTCTCCTCTCTGCTCCCCCACCAGGCACTCCTGCCAGGGCGTGGTGTGCCTTGTGTTGAATCTTCTGCTCTGAGGACCGTTCCAGCTGAACTGGGATGCTTCCTTTTCCTTGCTGTGCATATTATTACATCGCATATATATGCCTGCCTGCTTTCCTCTTGTGAGGAACCATTATTGCTCAGCGGTGTGTATCGAATTAGAATCCAGAACTACAGTCAGAACAGCTCCATGTGGTTCCTAATTATCCGCCAGTTTGTCGTCCTGCTTTTTTTTTTTTTTGGTACAGAGTTCAACTTTCTGCAAGTTTTAAAATGTCTATTATTGTATCTGTTTTGTTGTGTGTGCCTCTCTGGGAACTTTTTGTTGTAGGACAACATATAAAATACATATTTACATATAAGTAAACATCTTGGAGGTTCAGGGCAAATCATGTATCATCATCTCATTATTACACCATCAGTGTGCATACCATTTTGCAAAGAACCATGTTTTGTTTTTATTTGTTTATTACATTTCTCTACTGCCCAATAGCTGATTCACAAAAACTTAAAGCCATACAATGCAATATAATATGAAAAGAGTTAAAGTTTAAAAAAGAATTAAACCAAAGTAATAGCTCAGTGAATCTAAAAGCTAGCACGAATTTTAAAATGCAATAGTACATATTTTTAAAAATGTGGACAGAACCTTGCCTTGAAAGATGTAGAAATCTTGAATTCAAAAGGGGATGTGCGGAAGAGGAAGAAAAATAAAATCAAAACAAAGAGAGAAAGACTATGTCCTTATTTCATGTGCATATACTTTGCTATTGTAAGATAGCCTTTCCTAAATCTGTTGCCCTTCAGATGTGTTGATCTACAGCTTCCAGAATCCTCCAGCCAACATATCTGGAGTGTGCTGTAGAATATCGGGACTAGTGAACTGTGCCCCGAAAGCTTCAAAGCATATCTGAATGTTGCAGGTGGATTCAAAGGAACTATGAAGTATCACCATGCAGGTGCTCTTAGTGAACGTTCGAGGCATAAGGGCAGGCAAAGGAGGAAATGAATAGAAAATATTAAATTCATGTTATCCCAGAGATGCAAGCAGGAAGAGGAAAATAATCTGAAGTCCAAAGTTTCCCTTGCCTGGCCCAGCACTTAGCTTGTGAGTTGGCACCAGACCACCTATATATGTTATTTTCCTCCCAGCCATAAGCACTAGAAACTTAAAATAAGACAAGTAGCTCATTCTCTGGATACTAGTTAGTGCTGCCAACTGAGTTCGTGGAATATGCATAGCAGTGTACGAAGAAATATAGCATTAACATTTAAAAGTGGGGTGAGAAGAGAAATGTGATTTCTGTAATCTCTCTCTGCCCACACTACAGTTAACTGAACTATTTACCAGCCCTGATCACTGTTTGAACCGGCTGCCCTCCTCATGGCTGCTGTTTTGTTCATTTGTACCTTCTCACAAATGGGCACAGAAAACAGGATGCCAAATAAGCTATAGGCTCTCAGGTGTAATTAACCATCATTTATTTGTTACAGTTGCGTTCTCCTAGGAACTCAGAGCTTTCCCCTCCCATTCATGTCAACCTCACAACCACCCTGTAAGGTAGGCTTGTCTAAGCATTTGTGATTTGCCCAAGGTCTCCCAGTGAGCTTCTTGGCTGAGCAGAGATCCGAACCTGGGTCTTTCCCATGACAGTCCAGTGGGACAGGCAACAGGTGGCCTTCCAGATACTTTTGCCTACGAATCCCATTATCCCCTACCATTGATTGTGCTAGCTGATGGGGTTTGTAGACCAGAACACCAGAAGGGCCACAAATTAACCATCCCTGCTCTAGGGGCAGGTGAACTTCAGGCCCACAGAATCTACCATGTTTTTGACCCTTGGAGCTAGATACAAAAAGGGGGCTCAGGACGTACAGCCGTGCTCCCCACTGCATTCCTGTGAGCATCACACTGGATACCTGGCATGTGCAAATCCGCAGCTGAGTTACTACAAATGAGGGCTTGAAACACAAAAGTTTTAAAACTGGCCAGCAGAACTGCACAAAAATCTAATCTTAAGGCAGTCAAGTCATACTCTTGTTTTACAGGTGAGGAACACTGAGGCAGAACGAGAAGCAGCTAAGATCAGGACAGGCATGGGAGGCCGTTTTCTTAGAATGAAGCCTGGCCTCTCTACTACAACCCAGTCAGACTTCACCTGGTAGATCCTACATAGTCTCCTTTGTTCCAGACCTCACACCACACCATGTTTTCTTTTGCTCCCTTGGGATGTTGTAGGATGGGGTCCTTCTCTTTTGGGTTTCCACTCTGATGACATCAACCCCCGTCCCCTCTCTTATTTCTCAGCTTCTTCAGCTTCCTCATCTTTGGCAAATGCCCCTGTGGAAGCGGAGCAGGCTTGGCCCCAGAGCAGTGGGGAAGAGGAGCTGCAGCTACAGCTGGCGCTGGCCATGAGCAAAGAGGAAGCGGAGCAGGTAAGCGCCAAGGTAAATCTGTCACTGGAGGCTCTTTGGCTGGGAGGGGTGGTGAGGGATTACGGGAGTACATTTGGGGTCGCACGAGATCTCTCCCTTCTCTCGCATGTGCGCGCACACACACACACACACAGGCACAGCCGGTTCTTGTGTCACCACCCTTTGGGAGTCATTGCTCTCTCGGGGCCTCTTCTGCAGAGAAATATAAAACATGGCTAGACAAGCAGAGCTAGAAGAAAAAGCACCCCAACTCACAGTGGCTAACCCATAGAGCTGCGGATCTGTTGGTCTCATTCGTGAACATGTCACCTCCCCACATTCAGAAATTGGTATAGCCTACCATGGGAGAAACAGAAACAGAGCATGTTTGGGGGTTTTTCTTTTCTTGCCAAGAGGCCCCCACTTAACTGCATCTGCTTTAATTGCTTAGGGCAGCCTTCCCCCAACTTGGTACCCTCCTGATGGGTTGGACTGCAGCTTTCATGATTACCAGCACACATGGCTGGAGGCCATGATGGCTGAGAATGATGGGAATTGCAGTCCAACCCATCTGGAAGGCATCCTCTTGGGAAGGCTGTCATAGGATAGTATTAAGGCAAATGAGGTGGCTGTCTGCAGCACAGTCTGATTCCAGCAACTTGCTCAGTACACACAGGGATGGGTCTTAACCAGTTTCCTCCAAGCCATAAGTGAAACAAAGGGCTCTTTGACTCCCTCTTCCTGGTTCTGCGTAGCAACTATAACTTCTCCCCTAGTGTGCATCATCTGGTTCCCTCCAAGGTGCCAACTCAAGCTAGTTGCAAGTGGCAGTACTAAGGTCCTGTGTCCAGGGAATAGCCAACTGCATGGGGCCAGATCTGCATGGAAAGGTCTCCCTCCTCCACACAAGCTGGCTAACACTGCTGCTCAATGTTAGGGGCCCTCCTCCAGATGCTCCCCATCACCTGAGGTGAGAAAAGGGCCTTTTTGGTGGTGGCCTCACTTGTAGAATGCTTCTCCAGGAAAGCTTGCCTGTTCTAATGGCTGTACAGCACCAGCCAAAAGCCATTTTATTTTCCCAGGCCTTTTAACTCTGCACTTTATCCCTGCCCTCTTAGACTGTTGGTTTCTATTGTTGGTTTTTTTCTATTAAAAAAAGAAACATGGTTTTATTGACTCTTCTGTTTTATATGTAAACTCTTCTGAAATTTTTTGATCACTGGAATACAGTTTCTTTATATAAAATAAACACACACATTCTGAAGGGGCTCAAGAAGCTCTTGCCCGTGTCTTATCTTGTGTGGAAGTTAACAAAGCCTCAAAGAAATAAAACATGAGCAAAAAGCATAAGTCCAAAAAGCAGGTTCATTAATTAATAGAAAAGAGAAAACTTCCTCTACCTGTATCCTTCCAGATCTTTTGGCCTACAGCCCCCATCATTCCTGGCCATTGGCTAAGCTGGCAAAGTCTGATGGAAGTAGTAGTCCACAACCTCTGGAAAGACCCAGGTTGGGGAAAGTTGGCTTTAGGGTAAGATGCATTATGTAAAATGTAGAGAACCAGTGAAAAATACTGTGTTGCGTTAGGGCAGTACATCCCTAATCTCTGCCATCCAGATCTATTGGACTACAACTATCCTCAACCAGAATATGACAAAACACATGAATCTGAGGATTTTGATCATAGTGGCCTGTTCACATGCACTTTTTTAATTTATATATTTGCTTTGACTTTGCAGACCATGCCTTAATGCAGGGGTGGGCAACTTTGATGGTTCAATTCACATGCGCTCCTGAAAATCAACTGGGGGCCACACCCCTTCCCGGGAAGCTTCCAGAAGAGCAGTTTGGCTTCCCAAGATGGCGCGTGCAGTTTGTTTTAGAGGAAAGGGGGTGGGGTTGTGGCAGGGGCAAGAAATGTGTTTTCCACTCCCTGCTATAATGGATTGATATTTTTACCATTTGCCTAAATTGTTTGTAACTAATTGGGTTACTGAAACTGTGAATATGTTTTTCTTTTCAATTAATATATTTGAAAGGAAAGGCTAAAATTTATCACTACTTAAATAAACCTATTTTGGACCTGTTATGTGCAGAATGGAGGGTAGCGGGGATGTTGCTGGACCCTTTAGCCCCTGCACCATTTAAAATACGGCCCCTGTTTAATAGTTTGCTATGGTGTATGGGTAGAATAAGTTTTTTGACAACAAAAAAGATCGGCTTAACATATTTTGGTTCATGTATGACCCCCTTTTAAGCAGATCGGTGCTAGCAGAGCCTTATGGATAACTGAGCCTCATGGAAGTATTTAGTAATCCCACTGGAGAAGAAACATCAAACTACTGGCTGAATACTAACCTCAAGCTCCTGACAGCCCTACTGGGAGCAGAGGCTGATGAGTCACTGGCCAGTCCATTAGTCTTGCATTACAACTTTGTTCTGTTTTATTTTTTAAAAATGATTTTAGAGTGGTCGTGTGTGTGTTTTCTAAGAGCTTCATACAATTTGGGAGAAACAGGAGAGACAAAAGCTGTGTTGATAAGTGTTGAGCTGACATTTCTCAGCAGGGAGTTAGCCTTTCAATTGAGATTTTTCACTCAGATTCTCACGCAAGGTGCCGTGCAGTGATGGGTCCCCCCTCTAAGCTGGGGGAGAATGAGAATGTTTCCATTTTCTGTAACATGGATTGATCCTGTCCCCTCAGACACAGAAGTTTGGTCTAGCATATTCCTCAGCACGAGTGTCTTTAGAAGCACTTCCTTGGAAATCCAGGGAAATCCGGGAAGCCTCCTTGCTGCAAGGAAGCCGCCTGCCTGCCTTCTCAATGGAACAGCCTAACTTTGGCAAAAGGTGCTCTAGATTCTTTTGAGCCTTCAGTTCTGGAGTTTGGATTCTTTTCAGTCCCACACTCTGCTCATTATTAGTAACACTATTAAGAACTGCTTTTTCTCTAGTCGGGAGCAAAATGACTCTTATTCAGGCACCAATACATTCCGTACCCACTGACACTGTAGCTCTCATTTCTCCCAGACCTTTCACTCCACAGGTGCCACAGACAGGTTTTTGTCCCGTTCTCCAGCACTAGGTGTGTTGTCTCCTCCTTCCCTTTTTCTGTGGTTCCTCCCAAGTGAGGATGATTGTGTTTTGCTCCCTGCCCCTGCCGTGTGCATCTTCCCTGCATCCCACTGTTTCACCAGTTGGTTTTGGCTGCTTATTTATTTTGGCTCCTTACTTCCACTTCCCATTCTGCTCCTTTGTGCCACATTTCCCTCTGCTCCACTCTCTTGTTTGTAAATTGAAAGCAAAGGAACAAGATCTACAAATATTTAACTGCGATTTGGGGAGCTGAGCTAGTTCTTTTATTTTTAAGGGAAGAGAGGTTGCTTTATGCACCAGAAATGCCCAAATTCAGTAGAAGCAACTCATTCTGCTCCCTACCTTTCTTGTCTGAACGAGCAAGAGGGAATCGCATTTCCCTCCACATCAACCATTTGTGATGTTGTTACCCAGCCTTGAAAGAAATAATGCCAAAGTGAACAGAAACATGTCCTGTTCGTAGGAGGCTGGTGAAGGAGGGACAGAGAGCTGGGTTTCTATGCCTGACATGAGGGAAGCTTCTCTAGCACTTTACTCAGTTTCTGTGCTGTGTGCAGAGGAAGAACAGCCAGCCGGCTCACTCGCCTGCTAGGAAGCCCCTGCATGCCTGCAGTGACCAGGCTAGTGCTTAAAACTAAGGGTGATGCTCTCAGAGAAAGGTGTTGCCCTCTACTGCTCAGCGAGGATGCCTCCACCTCTAGCAGCCATCATGCTATAGGAGGAGTGTGGCTCGCCCTATCACCTGCTCTTCTCCCAAGGAGCTCTGTGTGGTGCTGCAGTCCGGCAGCAGTCCTGCAAGGTGGAGTAAACCAAGAGCAAGTATCACCAAGGCATTTGTGGGAGCTTCACAGCAGAGCAGGGATGTAGGCCAATGGACCTCATGTCCACATGTGGTCTTTCGGCTGCTGTACACCCTGCTTGGCTCCCCTTGACTGCTTGCAAGGTTTATAAAGGCAATTCAGCAGAGCAGAATTCTGAGACTGGACTCTTGCAGGTTCATGGAACTCACTCTTCCTAGGGAAAGGCAACCTCATCTCTGCCTCAGTCATATCCCTTGTTCTTTAACTAACTGTACGGCCCTGGTGCTCTTTGCTTTTGCTCACAAAAGCACAGCAAGTGCAGACGATGACATAAGGGGGTACAAGGATGTCAGGAGCTCCTTTTATCAGGGCAGATGGCCAGAGAAAGAGCAGAGGTTCCCAAGTACATCTATTAATGTTTTGTTCAATTCCAAGGAAGATAAAAGGAATGATTGAAACTCCAGGAGGTGAGGGGATGGCTGATCAGGATGGACTTTTGATACCAGATGTGGCAATGGTTGTGTGAAATGGAGGTGCCTGCAAGTCTGTCCATCTTTTCTGTCCGTCCGTCCATCCGTCCCTCCCTCCCTCCATCCGTCCCTCCCTCCCTTCCTCCTACCTCTTTTGTGTCACACTCCATTCCATGCCTCTTATGTTGTGTTTCTTCCCCCCCCAGCCCCCTGCAGTGGCCGACGAAGACCTACAGCTCCAGCTAGCCCTTAGCTTGAGCAAAGAGGAACACGACAAGGTTAGACTCTTACCACACACCCCTCACAGCAGCCCTTCCTCAAATAATCAACTAAACCACTTCCCCCAGGCAGGTCCCAACCTCACACTTTTCCCACTAACTCAGTGTTCTCTGTCTCTCCACATCCTGTCTGAAGCGGAAAACGATGCAGCAGTGGTGCCATGACTCCATTTTCACTTTTAGACCTTTTTGATTGTCCACTGTAGAATCAAGATTTCCCGAGATGCCCCCCTCGAGGGAGGGCCCGAGGTGGGACAGATCAGTCTTTGGGTCCTAAGCCTGCTTCGAGCTGAAACAGTAACCGGTGCCCGTTGAAGTGTTTTGCTTGCGCCTTCAGGGGAACTGAGGCAATGGATCGGAGGAGGAGCTCTCTGGGCAGCAGGGTGGAGGGGTGGCAGGGGTCTGCCGTCTGGGGCAAGGCGTTGGGGTTCCTGCAGCAGGGGACAGGGAGGGTTAGCCTCGGCTGAGGGGAATGTTGGCTAGACCAGAGCAGGAGTGGCAACTTGGGGCCACTGGGGTGTTGTCAGAATACCGCTCTCATCACCCCGGCCAGCACAGCCAAGGCTGATGGGATCAGTGGGGAGCTGCCTTAGACTGCGTCCCTGCAGTACTGCTGACCCTAGTTGGTGGCACTTTTCCCTTCCCTACCTGGAGAGGCCGTGGCGGAATTAATGCTGAGACCTTCTGCAGGAAAAGCAGGTTGGATATTGCAGTCCAACAGCATCAGCGGGGACACAAATTGCCCTTCTCTGTCTTGGAGCTCGCAGGCAAGGCGAGGAAGATTTCAGCGTTTTCTCTTTTTAAGGGGAGCTTACTGGGTTTAGCCAGTGGGGGAACATGAGGGACGAGTGGAAAATGCTCGAACAGGAAGGCCAAGGTTGAAGGACTGAACTGGGTCGAATGGGTACATGCATAGACAAGGTTCTTTCCACTTGGTGTCCTGTATTTTGGGAAAGTGCCGGAAGAGGAGTTGTCAGGGGGTTCCGCAGTTCTCTCTCTATGAGTAGGGAGTGAAAGTGGGCAGCACCAGCCTCCTCCGCAGCTCTTCAGAGCGCCCTCCTGACGGCAACTTTTCCTGCATGAGCTGAACCGAACGCAGCTGCCGTGTTGGTGGCTTGAAACCTCACCTGGTCCATGGCCCAGCTGCTGTTACTGCACCAGATTCAGTCTCTGCCTTGCCTCCTCCTGCTGAAGGTGAGTGATCCTCTGCCATCGTCTGCTGCCCATGTTGATGCCTGTGTCCCCCCGCCCACTTGCAGGAGGAGCGGATCCGACGCGGGGATGACCTACGACTCCAGATGGCCATTGAGGAGAGCAAAAAGGAGACCGTGCCTGCTAAGGAGGAGGTCAGATAAGAGGAAATTGGGTCGTGGGCTGGGGCTTTTGAAACAGTGGCCGCCCGCCTGAATCGCTCACTGTGTCCTCCTTTCTACAGAAGCAGCGTGGTGGGGCGAGGTCCAAAACCAGAATGGGAGGATAGTCTTCAAGCACCGAGCATGGGTGTCCTCTGAGAAGCAGAATGCCAGAGTAGATGTGCCCTCTGTTTGTTTGATCCAGCAGTTCATAATGTTTGTGTGAAGTTAGCTGTGGTAGTAATAGGCACACTCAGTTCCATATTCATGCCGTATACTGAAGAGTGTGTACAGGGCCCGTCAGTTTCATCCTTGCAACAGCCCTGTGTGGTAGATTAGACCAGGGGGTGGTTAGGGACAGAAGGTAGAAGAGTATTTATTGGTGGATCCTCATTTGATGAGCAAGTGTTCTTGACTTCCAGTTGTTTAACAATAGCAAGTGAGGGTGTACTCTTTGCCGGCTGGAGCGTGCTGTAGTCCTTTTCTCTGTTTAAACTTGCTTGGGATTGCTGCTTAAACTACTCTTTTGTACACAGATTAGGCTGCTGAAATGCAAACCGCTTGTGCTTTTCTTTGTAGAAGGACTATGAGCTCATTTCAGTTCTGACACTGAAAACATATTTGTGTGGCTCAAAATGTGCTTAGAGGCATCCTGTTCTTGAAATCTAAGAGTATGCCTTTTTCACCTGGCTCTCACTGCTGGAACGTAGGGTTCTAGTAAGGAAAACAACTAGATCCAGCAAACCTGACATTTGCTCACTCCTGCATTAGAGTAAGGCAGCCTCATATGTAAGTGGGGTGTTGAAGCCAAGCTTCTGTGGCCCAGCTTCTATGGCTCACTCCTTTATATACCATAATGGCTTATCCTCCACCTGTTCAGAGTTGACCAGAGAAAGGAGATGACCTACCAGCCATGGAGGACTTAGTCCTGCCATTTAGCGATGATGCCACAGGCCAGTAGCCCAAAGGGAAAGGAGAGGCTTCCTGTCCATTTGAAGGAAATTTAAACAACCTTGCAGAGCAAGCTGGGGACCCAGGAGGAAGGGCAAATTTCCTTGACTGGTTGAGCAATACTTATATCTTGTCTTTCCTCCAAGAAGTACTCACATTTCCCACCCCACTCAGTTTATTCCTCACAACAACCCTGAAAGAAGGGTTAGGCTGAGAGTGAGTGACTGAAGTTCACCTATAAAACTTCATGGGTGTGTGAGGATTGCAGCTTTTGAGTCTCCTCCTGGTGGTTCTAACCACTACACCACATGGTTTCTTGGGCTATATAGAATAGAGAGCTTACAGGGAATTCTGTCCTCCCTCCTTGTCTTTCTCAATCTGTCTCTTGCCTTCTTCTCTGTGCCGCCCCCCCCCCGCAATGCAGTCATCCCTGATGGATCTCGCAGATGTCTTCACCACCCCACCAACAACCGACCCCTGGGGTGCCCCTCCTCCTGCTGACCCCTGGGGTGGCCCTGCCCCAGTTGTATCCGCAGCTCCTGCCGACCCATGGGGACCACCCACTACCACGGCAGCCTCCACAGGGGATCCATGGGGGACTTCCGCAGCACCTCCTGCAGTCCCCCCATCAGATCCATGGGGAGGCACTCCAGCTGCAAGCAGTGACCCCTGGAAACCTGAACGTAAGAAACAGGTTATTAACCAATCAGGATATGATATGTTAAAGATTGTTCACCATGTAATTTAATTAGGTTATGGGTTATCTGGAGAAAGGGTCTAATGTGGAATACGGGTGCTTTCTGTGTTTGAGTGAAACCTGAAGATTCAGGGGCCACTGACCAGTACTGAAGCTAGTAGGCACCTCACCATCACATTGTCCACAAAAGATCTTCAGTGATACCCTTGCCAGCTTTGGGCTATTAGGTCTGTACCCACCATCCTGTTGTGATATTCTCCTCTGGACAGAGGTAACATGGCCTTTTTTACTTGTAGCTGTAATTGTTTTTAATATTCACTGTGTTTTTCCTTTATTCTGAGTTTTATTTACTGCGCATTTCATAAACTGCATTGGTAGGTTTCAGAAAGCTGGTATAAAAGTGTAATAAACAGTGAACCTCTTCCCAGCCATTTTTAAATGTTTGCTGACATGGTTTCCCTTTTCCTTCCAGGCGGGGGTTCTGCTGGGACTGCAGCAGCACCGCCCACAGACCCGTGGTCTTCGGGCCCAGCTCCCACATCCCAAGGGAAGCCTGCACCTGACCCTTGGGCCCCAGCATCCACTTTTTCAGATCCATGGGGTGGCTCCCCTTCCAAACCCAGTACCAATGGCACGGCAGGTGAGCAGAGGTTAAGGGGCTGGGACTCCTGGCTTTGAAGTCGGAGGTGAGGGGTGGAAGTGATGGATTAGGCTGACTGGGCCAGGAACCGTGTTTCCTGGGTGGTGCTGTGGCTGGTGGATCAGGTGAGGTGGAAAGAGTTTCCGGATCAGAATTGTGGAAGGCTCAGTGCGAGCACTTTCCTTGCCCCCCTGTTAATCCTACTGATCCTCCCCCTCCCCTTCTGCCTTGTCCCTCCCCTCCAGCTGGCGGAGGCTTTGAGCAGTTTGGTGGCCCCGGGGATGGGGACGAATTCTCGGATTTTGACAGCCTGCGCCCGGCACTGCCCAAATCTGGCAGCAGCACAGGTGAGCCCTGCATCCTGCATGGCTCTGCCACCTTGCCTCGGACTCCGCCTCCCCTTTGCATGTCCCCACTTCTGCCTTGCGCTTTCCTTTACTCTGACTCCCACATCTGTCCAGACCCACAGTTGCCTGGAAGACACCTAGCATCCCCTGGCATGGCACATCCCCATGTGCTGCTCCCTGTATCCTCTGTGGCAGCTAATCTCAGTTCAGAGTCGGGCCAGATTTGCTCTTGCATATATTCTGAGGAAGATGCCTTTGGGGGCGTTGCTGGTGCGGCTGTGCCCCCCTCTCCACCCTGGGGCTTGCCTGGGTTTTTTGTGACTGACCTTGGGAGCACCGGTGATTGTGAGTGAAGGACTGCGCCCTGCTGGCTGCTCAGGAATGTTGCTGCACCTGCATTTGCTCTCCTCTGTGCTTTTTCTCTTTGGGATCTTCCTCTCCTTTCTCTCCCCAGGCGAGCTGGCACTCTTGGCCGGGGAGGTGCCTGTCTGCCGTGCCGGCAGCGGCACTGACAGCCCCAATGCATTTGATATGGCAGCCATGAGTGGGTCTCTGCCAGAGATTTCCAAGCCAACCCGCAAGACCCCTGAGTCGTTCCTGGGTCCCAACGCTGCCCTTGTGGATCTGGACTCGTTGGTCAGCAAACCCACCGCTCCCACCAGCAGCGTGAAGGCCTCCAACCCCTTCCTGCCGGCTGGTAAGCATCCTGGGAGAGAGGCTATATGAGAAGAAGGGCAACTGGGGTCAAAGGGAAGGGAGTATCCACCCATCTAGGAGACTCGGGCTCCTTGTAATTGCCGCCTCTCTCTTTCTCTCTTTCTTGTTGTGCACTGCAGGTTCAGCCTCTGCCCCTGCCCCATCCGCCTCCACCACAAACCCCTTCCAGGCGACAGCAAGCACTCCACTTTCTCTCAACCAACTTCGTGTCAGTCCAGTTCTCCCTTTATCCCAGCCAGCGCCCCCAGCTTTTCCTGCCACGGCTCCGATGGTGTCTGTCTCTCCCATGGCCCCTGGGATGCCCTTAGCCACCGTCTCCCCCATGGTGGGGGTGCAGCCTTTGGGCCCTGTTCCACCTATGGGGCTCCCTGCCATGGGGCTGCCCACTCAGACCCTGCCGCCTGCCGGCATAGTCCCCAGCAGCACCTCAGCCTCGGCGGTGGGGAGCACCAACCCCTTCTTGCTATAATCAGTGGGGCCTTTTCAGCTCTGTGGTGACTACCCTGCCACCCCCTTCACTCCCCATATTCCCAATTTGCAATGGGGCCCCTAAGATCCTGCCCACTGAGCAGGGCAGCTGGGCTTGGGCAGGAGGGGGATGGAAGGAGGGCGGGAGGGTTGGATGGAAGGAAGGAAGGAAGGAAGGAAGGAAGGAAGGAAGGAAGGGGAGAAACTTAAGTCCTTACCATGAGTTTCTTTGTCTCCATGTTGGGGATAGGACAGACTTTTCCCCTTTTGGTTTTGGGGTGGGTGACCATTAAGGACCCCCCTGAAACCCCACTACATTGCTCTTCAGCATGAAGGGGAAGACCCAGTTCTGCTGCCAAGGCCAAGCACCGGCAGTGGCGACTCAAAGTTGCCCTGAGGCTCACACAGCTAATGGGAGGGAGCGCAGCAGCAGCAGCAGCAGAACTGGCAACCGCCCAGGGTGGGTGTCCTCTCCAGAGGTTTTTTCTTCTCTTTTTTGCGCCCTGTCTACTTTGGAAGCAACCGATTTAGAATATGTTTCTCCTCAACCACACCTTGAGTCATAAATCTCTCTCCTATCTCTGCAGAAGGGGTGCAGAAAGGGAAATAGTGAAACCTTTACCTCTAGGCCCTTTCAAATATAGTTCCCTGCTGGTGGGAAGGACAGCGCCCCTTAAATCATGCTGGGCTTCTCCTCCTAGACCACCCCCCTCTCCATTTCACACATTGATTACATCTTCCCCATCCCTTCCTCCCCTTAGCTGGGACCAGCCTTTTTTTTTTTTTTTTTTGGTGGGGTGAGGGTAGAAGTGGGGCTGGGGATGAAGTCAGCAGTGCCCTTCACACTACACTGGGGGATGGTTGAGACACTGGGAATACTCGTCTCTCCCATCTCTGGGGACAAGAGGGATACCACTAAACTACGGACAGAGACCAAAGCTGAATCCAGGAAGGGGAGCTGGGCCACAGTGCTGGGGCCCAGTGCCACCCCTTGTGATTTGCCATCTGCAGCCTCCAGATCTGAAGAGAACCAGCTCTTAGAAGCAGCATGGGACCCCATCACTCTGTTACGGGGAGCCTTGAAACCACCCGCCCAGCCTACTGTGAAGGGAAAACCTGGAAGCTGTCAAAGGTTTGACGCTCTGAGATTCCGGAAGCATTCGTAGGCGAAACTGCCTGAAGTGAAACCCTTGCAGGGATTGCCAGTTCCTGGAAGCTCCCAAAGAGCCAAAGCCTCCTATGGATTTTGGGACAGCGAGATTTAAAGTCACTCCTCCCCCACCCCATATTCCATAATCTGCAGACTGTGGCGGGCTGAAAGGATGACTCTGGTGAGAGGCATAGCAAAAGCCCCAGGGAGCCTGTGAAGGACACAGCCCGCCGTGCAAGCGGCCTTGAAAGGGACAGAAGCAGGCGCCCGCAATTCTCCCTCCGCCAGCCCTGCACACCGCTTTGAAGAGGGCAGGGGCAACACCACAATCCTCGTGGCAGCACTCTTCGCACAGGTGGCACCCGCGCCATCAACTTCCGGCGTGCGACCTCCCTCCTTTCCTCCCCCCCTGCAACCCCCCCCCGGGCGTGGTCTTTGTGCTCTGGTGACTGGCGCGTGAAAGGGCTGCTTCGACGTACGGCAGGGCCTTGCCGCCTTTATCTGGCCAGCTCAGCGCCAAGAAGCATCAGCTGTTCTTGAGACTGGTTGAAAAAGAAGGGTGGGGTCGCTGGATGGCTGTTTCTGCCCTTTCTAGAGCAGCAGCTTTGAGGACGGGGGTGTTGGAAGGGGGGGGGGGTCAAAGGCCATGTGTGTTTGTGTGCGTGTGTGTGTGCGTGCGCGTGTGTAGCTGCTGTGATTGTCAGTTCCTGTTTTATGCTACTGGGGGTGGGTGGGGCACTCATGTAACACCCAGGACAATCTGCTAGATCCTTCATTTCCTCTCCCCCCCCCCAAAAAAAAATCTTGCAATGGTGTTTCCTACTTCTCTCTGCCACCAAAACCAATCATGCCAGGGAATCATTTCCCCGACACATCAGTATATTTGAAGAATCATTGTGTCATTGGTCAGGGCAGGGGGTAGAGGAGAGTGATCCTGGCTGTGTGTGACCCTCCCTCTTGGCTCTGTCTCTCCTCCCCCACCCCCTTCCCAGTCCCCAACCTTATACTGGTATGCATCAGAAAACTGCTATTGATGAAATGAAATAAATGGAAATTCTTCTATGGCACCCAAAGGCTTCTCCCCCCTCCCCACTCCAGCGTTTGCTTTCCAGGGAGGCGGTTAGGCTGTTCTCCGCGTGGAGAGGAAGGGCAGCACTCCTTAATGCAACACAACCGTTTAGGCCGTGCCGGCAGGGCCGAGACTTGCCCACCGGTACATCTGGAGGGTACAAGGTCGGCGTTGACTGATCCAGGTCCTCGTTAAATGCACAGTGTCTCCGGTAATTGCGGCTGTCCGAGGACTATGAATGCTTGCTTTGCTTTTCAAAACTCAGCCGTGCAGGGAGTGGTTAAGCTGAGGGCAAAGTGCTTTGGAAGCAAGGAAAAGCCCCAAAGTAAGCAAGAGGTTTTTTCTGCTTTGTTGAGCTAAGCGACATGAGTAGGGCAAAAGTTAAAGAACATGAGGCAGCCCTGCCTCCACACAGAGAGGCAACATCTGGGCTCAAGTGTCTGCAGCTTCCAGAACTTGCAACTTTTATAGGACCGGGGCAAAGGTCCCCGGCAAGTAGGCAAGTGCCTTCCACCTGGTTTTTTGTAAGCACGTTGGTTCAGCCTGGGGCTGAGATCAGTCCACTTCTCCAGGCTGGTTGCACCACCGTTGCTGGGTTGCTGGTTGCCTGCATTGGTTTTATGGGTCTTTAGGACGCACAGCGCACCTTGGCTGCCATTCTGAGCACAACACGTAGGCCTCATTCAGTCCATTGGGACTGGCATCTCGTCTCCGCATTGGTGCCTGGCAGTGGCTCTCCTAGAATCCAAATGGGAGTTTTTCCCCAGCCATTCCAGGGGTTGAAAATGGAGCCATTTAGTGTCCAAGGTCTGTCACCTGCTGCTGAATTAAAGCTTTCTCCATAAGTTTTGCAGAAACCCAGTAGGATCGGCCGTGGTTTATCCTTCCTCTGCTGCAGGTGGGTGGCAGAGAAATGAGCCCTGTCTACAGCCTCCTAGTGGCTTGTAACATTTGGACTCGGAATCTCTTCCCTCACAATTCAAATCCTTAACTGATCTTGGATAACTCTCTGCCTCCAGGAAGGAAGATACACAGAACTACATTCAACACTCACTGCCTGGAATCAGTCACAACCTAGTGTGAGTTTCTTGCATAACTGTGATAGTCACACACTAGAGACAACAGACGTGATAAGAGTCCCTCTCACTGTGCCATAAGTTGTTGACTCCACCCTCACCATTTTATCCATTGATTGTTTAAGCCAAGGGGGCCCCAACCTCCTCGACCCATGGGCCCAGCTGGAATCGTTAAAAAGTTATGGGTACACGGCCATCAGAGTGGAAGGGGTGAGTCACAAAATGTTGGGAGAGTTTTGTGTGAGTGAGTGTGAGGCAGAGGAAAAAACAGAAAAGGAGGGAACAAGAAGAACGAAAAGGTTGACTTGCATGGGGGGATGCGGTGCTTTGGGGGCCCCAGAGCAGTCAGCTCCTGACTGGTGGCTCTCCATGGCTTCAGAGGGGCTTTTATCAGAGCCACGTGGAAGATGGTGGCAATTGAACTATGAATTTGGAGGTACAAAATGGAAGTTCTGCTGTGGAGTTCTAGCCCTTTCATTTTTACTGGGGTGACTAGTTCGGAAGAAGGGATTGTGTCCAGAGGCTTTAGCGTGCTAATAGCCTTTCCTCTTCTGTCTTAGACTTTCCACTGCTTTTGAGGGAAAGGTTGAGGAGCCTCAATACTGGGAACAGGTGTAGGGGCTGCTTTCCAGCCCCACACTGGGATCCACTCTGGAGGCTGGTTCACACATGCATGTACGTTACTTGGAGGGCTGCTCAGCCACAGGATGACTCATGACTGAAAGTGTGGGCTGCCTCCACTGAAGTATGGTTTCAGGTTGATGTTGGAGGTGATGTAGGATTTCTCATTATTCTATATATGGCTCATTTGCACCGTTTGATGCTGCAGTCATCATTTGATGGCCTACCAGGAGATGTGGTCAAAGCAGAACTGATGAAAAATTATCACCATGGAATTATTTAATTTCCAACATCATTGTCCACTGGGTGGGCTTGGGATGTCGAAAGGTGGGGGGCTTGGGATGTCGAAAGGTGGGGGGCTTGGGATGTCGAAAGGTGGGGGGCTTGGGAAGTTTGCCTCCGGCAGTTTTGGAATGTTCACTGGTGACGAGCCTGAGACACTTTCCTCTGATGCCTCAGAGCTCTGTGAGCTCTCTGAACTCTCTTCATCATCATCTTGAGATGTGCCTTTTTCTCCTGCCTTCTTTTTATGATGGTAATACCTGTTATCAAACAGAGGAATCTGTAAGTGCAGCTTCCCCTTCTTAGCTGCTCTGCCCCAGACAGCAAGTGAATTTTGGTTGGGAAATAATAGGGCTTTGAGTGATGAAAATGCTTGATATCCATGATACTGTCATTCTAACAACTCTATAAATTAGACCTATATTATTATCGGACAACTGCAAAGAGTGCAGCTGAGGGTGGCGTACAGAGGGAGTCCAGGACAGGGCCTTGGTTTGAATAGGGATCTTCTGAGCCCATAAATCATTCACCAGGCACTGCGTGGAGGCCTTATTGATGAAGTCTCTTGCTTCCATTCCCAGAGTTGAGATGTTACCACTCTGCATAGCTATAGTCTGTGTGCACACAAAAGCTAAGTGCCCGTGGACTCACCACACGAGAGCTCCGATGCCCAGCAGGATCACAAGTGTCACCAACACCCCCACCACAGCATTGCGCCCTGCAGAAGAAGCACAGGAATGCCATGGCATGAGAGGTCTAGCAGAACCGAAAGCTTTCCCCTCTGAAACAAAGGCTCATCTTTAGTGTGTTTTACTTCTGTCTTTTTAAAAGAGTATCAGCTAAAAAGCCCTGCTCTAGTTTGTCCAAAACTTTTCACAACATGTAGGTGCTGTTGTGCAGCAACGTTCAATTGCCTTGAACTTGCCGGGCTGCTTCCTCGTGCATAACTTGTGAATGTATTAGCAAGAACTCCTTGAATACAAGGTTATGGCGAGATTGGAAGCAGATTGTTAGTCTGTGTGTGTTGGTCTGGTCTGGTCTGGTCTGATTCAGTTAAAGCAATGTTCCTTAAGGTAAGAAGATACGCTCCCAGCTCTGCCTTTAAAAATAAGACAAATTTATTTGTCATTTCTCCTATCATCCAGGTGAAGGAAAAGGAGAAAGCAAAGTAACCTTGTCACCTTCTACAGACCAGAAATTAAGGCAGTGGGAATATTCAATTTTGTTTTCATATTCCTCCTCCAAGGAACGCAGGGCAACATATACCGTTCCCGTTCCTTCGGCTCTCATTTGTACCCTCAGAACAATTTTGCAGGTTAGCCGAGAGGGTTCAGCCAAGTTTGTCTGGCTAGCTTCACAACATTTTGACCTCAGGACTTCCCAGTCTACATGAAATCGGCCTTTTCCTGAAACATGTCTCATATTTTACTTTGCAGCCATTGAGACTGCACACCTGTTCACTCAACTGCAATGGCATTGTGGGTCTGGACAGAAGGAAGCGCAGTCCTGTTGCTTGCCTTCTCCAGCCTGCACAAGAGAAGTTGGGATATTAGCTTGCATCTTGATTTAGCTATACTTAGGGTAGCCCTAGTGAAATCAGTGGGTCTTATTGATCATGCCTAACTTCAGTCTCAATGACTTTGCCCTTTCAGTTCTTAAGTACCACTTTATTTGAGTCCAACAAACTGTTTTTGTTGCAATTTGTATCGCAGCATTCCTGTCAGGACCCCATGGTGACATCTTTGGATCTGTTCTAATTTGTTTGTCCACAACAAGCTTGCGGACCAGGCTAAAGAAAAGAAAAAGCCTAGTAGCACACATTTGCCATGCCACATTGTCTCAGTTTGTACCAAAAGGTGCAAAAATGAGGTGGAAGAGATGCTGTGGTTGGTGGACTTTTAGCCCTAAGGATGGGGAAAGTCCGTTACCTGCACATATCATGGGATCGTAGCAGGAAACTTTGAGGAGCCGGCAGTTCACACATTGGGCCACTTCATAGGGTTTGTACCGGAATTGACCTGTGTAAGTGAGGATTTTCAGTTAGACCAACCCTAACCCTTTTGGATCACTTGGGCTTATCTGGAGTTTTAAGACAAACTTGGCACTGGAGGCTAGTTTGCTTTTGCAGCATGCCTGTCTCCCAGTTTGTTTTATTTTTTAAAAATAATGAAAAATCAAGGGGGGGCTCTGGAAGCCACCAAGAGGATGTCTGCAGTGGCTTTCAGCAATTCTCAGGGAAAGCAGGCAAAGAGGAAAAACATGGTTTGCCTCCACATCTGAAACACAAAGCATGGTTTGGTTTAGAGGTTGAAATGTATGAATAATTAGTGCAAACCACGATTAAGCATTACATGTGAACTGACCAAAGATAATGGACTGGCTCTATGCTGGGTCTACATTTAGTATGACCAAAGGGACAATCCTATGCAAGTTTAGAAAGGGGGGGGGGAACCCTGTACCTTCCAACATTCCCCCACCACCTGTGGTGTAAGTTGCAGGCCTTTTTTCTGCCTAAACTTGGATAGGATGGAATGCTAAATCTGTTCTAAGCCAATGGATTTGAACCAAAATAACCAGTAAACTCTGTTTTGACTTATCAAGCACTAATGCAGCTTAGAATTGTACATACAATGTCTGCAAAATATTTTTCATTTCCCTCTCCTTCCCCTCACCCATTCTGTGCTGACAAATCACACTGTGAAAACCAAAGCTGATTTGTTTTGAAGCTTCACGTAGCAGTTATGTCTTCTCCACCCCTCATTTTTACTCTAGAGTAGTCAGTGGAAAGGGCCAGTTCACCCTGTGCTAGGGTCCCAATTTGGTAAGAGGGCAGAGGGAAGATGTGCACCTACTCCATATAAAAGTGAAAAAAGGTGCAACTGTGAGATAAGGATTTAGTATATTGTGGCCTGTTTCACAACACCATAACCATTAGCTATTCACAATTAAACTGGTGGAGGAGGAGGCCAAAAATGAACAACATGACCTTGTAAAGACTCTGAATATCATACTCGCTGGA